TCTCCGGATCTAGCCCCCCACGCCGTTGCCTGAGGTCCCTTCGGCCCTGACCCACTGTTGCCCGCAGACTCCCAGCCCCCTCCTTTCGCCTCCTCCCCTGAGCAGCCGGTGGGCCTGGCCTTGGGGCCACAGATCTACCCTTCTCCTTGGTCCCCCTTTTTCTCCAGCAGCGCCCACCCTTTGGCTTCTCTGCTCCTACTTTTGCCCTTTGGATCCACCGCGGCCTGGGCACAACCTTTACTCCGCTCAGGGATGATCCCTACACACTGTCAGTTTGGGCTTGATTTAAGGGGTCTTACAGCAGGAAAGCCGGTAGGTCTGCCAGGGAAAGTGGAGGGAGGGGGAGAAGAAGGAGAGGGCAGAGAGGTAGGCCTGATTTGCTAAGAGAGCCCTGCCTTCTGAGATGCAGAGGACGGAGGCTGGCCTGACCCTCTTCTTTCTAGAGTTGGCCACACAGAATGGGGTCTGGAAGCTACCAGGCTTACTGTTTGTCAGAGGCATTATGGGCATTTAGGGGGAGGGCCTCCAGAAGGCTGAGCGTGGATCTGGGAGCACCCTGCTTCCCATGCCCTCCAAAAAGTAGCCTTTAAGGGCCAAGAGTACAAGGATGGAGGTGACTGAGAACCCTGAGTTTCCCTTGAGTCCAGGGAAAAGGCCAATAGAGGAGAAAAGGGACAATTTCTGAAGACTGAAGTGCAATTTCCAATAGTTTCTTGTATTTACTGCTCAACCACGTTACTTGCCCCAAGAAAAGGAGGGAAGGGAGGAGTAGATGGTTGCCTCTGTTTTCCTTTCTTCCAAAGCTTTCTGTCTTTTTCTCTCTCCTGGGTCTACTTTAGTTGCACCCAAGGAAAGTGGCCCCTCCTAGGGCACTTTCTTCAAGCCTGCTCAAGACCAGAAGCAGCATAATTAAAGGGACACCGGAAAAGAGACACTTGGGGGTGGATGGATGGTTAGCATGGGCTGTGGTATCCAGTCTTCTCTTCCCAATGGCCAACTGTCTCTACATTTGACTGTACAGTAGTATTCCGGCTCTGTGGATAGGGTTCAGCCGTGGTTTGGGGAGCTGAGCTCTGGTTGTCAGAAGAGGACTGGTAGGAAGAAGCGTGCAGCCTCCTGGGAATGGGAGACCAAAGGAACTTGAGGAGGAAGGAAGATGCCCTCCCCTGGGCATCTGCCCTCTGCCACTCCAACATTAGTGCAGATGTGTCTATGAGGAACTGGAATGACTAATAGGTTTGCTGTCGTCCCTCTTGGGAGTCAGAGACTGATCCTGGGCCAGATTCTGAAGCTGCACTCACCCCATACACACGCGGACACCCACACAACTAGTGTGGCTCACACCTCCAAGTCACCTGCTCCTTTCTCAAGGGGCTAGATTACCACAGCCAGCTAGGCTGGGTTTATGCCCACCCTCCTAGGCCTGGCAGTGGGAGGTGCCTGTGCCTGTGGCCCAAGACAGAGCCAAACTTCTCTTGTGTAAGGATGTGGGGGGTGGAGGGGCCTTTAGCGGCGGTGGGGCTCATTAGGCAGAGCGGGGTGCCGAGAGGTGCGCGCCGCCGGCCTCCGAGGCTGCCTTTGAGCCGACCGGGCGGCTTCATTAAGCGGCGCTAACAAGGCGTACAAATGCCGGGCCCAGCAGCTTTCTTGCAATGCCGGGGCCTTAGCAGGGCGCCAGGCTAATGAGGGTCACTCAAAGGGGCTGATCAAATATTCAAATTTCCTCGCACGCCGGGAACTTTTATGCACGGAGAAAGTTGAGGCAACTGAGCCATGTTTACGGTCCGGGGCGACAATTGCTTGGAACGCCGGTCCCCGGAGGCTAAGACGGGGGCGGGGGCTCTGGGAGGGAGCGGTTGTTGTTGTTGTTGTTGTTTTTCAAAGGAAAGTAATCGGGGTCCTTGAAGGGTTTCGTGGCCTCCCCGCCAGTGCGCTGCGCCCTCCCTGGCGGTCCGCGCCAAGCGCCAGAGTTTGAGGCTTGCGGGGAGGCCAGACCGAGGGCCACCGGGCCAGCCCCACCTCCCGACGTCCTGGGGGCCGGAAGGGGCGGTCCCCCGCCTCCCCGCGAACCTTCCCTGGCCTTCTGAGCCGGCTGTTCGGAGATGGGCGAGTCTGAGTGGGTGCAACGACCCCAGCCCTCCGTATCCTCTCCCAGAGGCCTGCAGACCCCTGTAACCGGAAACAAGCAAGTCTCCGGCACATCTCCTGTTTGAGACTGTCCCAGTGCTGGAGTTGGGACTGACATTTGTAAACAAATGCCCAGTAGATCCTGATACCACAACACTCTCCAGTCCAACCGCCCTCTTTTCTCCTGGCACCACCTGAATATTGTATTTCCGGAGGCCTCGACCGAAGCGGGAACCATGGCGACAATTTTGGTCTGCACAGGTGACCTCGGTCTGTACCAGTCCCAAGTCCCAGATTCACCAAGTCCCAGATATCAGAATCTCAGCAGCCAGAGGGCAAGGGAGGGACCTAGAAGTCCCGCAGGCTGACCTACCCCTCGGACCTCATCACTATGACTAACTCGGGGTTTAGGCATCTTTCAGCCCCTGCACAGGAGTCCCCAAGGGTCACTTTCTGGCCCTGGAGCTGCCCAATGGCTTGGTCCCGAGACGTGTGAGAAAGGCCGCCTGGGTCCTGGAACCTGAGTTCCCTCTGTTCTTATCCCCATTCCCCAGAGCCCAGCAATTTGGGAGGAGCAGCCCTGATGCTCTACAGACGTCCTCCCCGCCCAAACACCCTTGGCACCCCTACACCCAGAACCTGAGCAGCCTGCGCTTCAAGCCCGCCGTCGGCGCCGAGGACCGGCCGCCCCGCCTCCCCTCTCAGCTTTGTGGACTCTCAACTTACTGACTTCAGGCGCCGTGCGTAGGGCTTCGGGCTAGGGCCGAGAGGCGCTGGCGGTGGAGGGCCGCGAGGTGGGCGAATTGGGCGCTGCGAACTGGGCTCTGCGGGGAGGCGAAGACAGCCGGGGGCTGCTGCCAGCCCGGCAGCGCGAAGCCGAGGGCCGGAGCACAAAGCTGCGCGCTCGCCGCCGCCCTCCTCCCGGGTTTGCGCTCCTGGATCGCGGCCGCCACCCAACAGGCGGGGTGCAGGTTCCGCAGGCTCCCCAGTAGAGGCTGGGGTATCACGGAGCGTAGTCTCTGCGCGAATTTCCTCAGTTAGCCCTTCAAGCGAGGATTTTCAATTTCGGTGCTTTCAGCAAAGCCTGCGGCACCTGCCCAGCCTCCCTCCCCGGCTGGCACCAAAGCGACGGGGAGAGGCCGGGTCGCCCACACCCGGAGGCGGGGGGTTGAGGGAATAGGGAGGGACCGGCCCGGTTCATTCGCCTGCCCGGCGCCTGGGTCCCCAGGTCCGGGGGATGTAGTTTCGGGGTCACGAGCTGCTTTCAAAAAGTTGAACACAATATTCGGAAACCCACCCGTAGGAATTCTCCCCCCACACGCGGCACAATACCCACTCCCCTCCCCTTTTTCATTCCTGCCTCCCCTGCTTCCTCCTCCTGCCCCTTCCCCCCCCACCACCTTTCAGTCTATAATCCTTCCCCTACTAGAGAACGGCATTAGGAAGAAAAGATGAAGTGTCTGTTTTTGTGTCCCAACCTTTGGGCTTTTTCTGGGCCTGCAGCGAACGACCGCCCAGAGCTTCACAGCTGAGGGGGAAAAGAACTCACGGTCTGGAGGAAGATACAGTATAGGACAGAAGAGACCCTCAAAGTGGGGCTTGTTGAATCTTCCCCTTAGGGGGATATTTCTCCGCCCAGTCAGGGATTCCAACCCGCCTTTAGGGCAGAGGGAGCTAAACCCTACACAGAGTCTCCAGAGCAGCTGGAGTCAAGGCCTGAACTGGGCCTGAGCTCCGGTTTAGGGGCTGGGATTGTCGCAGCCCTAGTCACGTTAGTCCTATGTAAATTCTCCCTAAATCTCTTTCTCTCTCCTCCCTCATTGAGATCTCCAAAGTGGTGTGGATCGGCGCCGCTCCTGCAGATCTGCATCGGAATGCAGAAAAGATCTTTTTTTTTTTTTTTAAAGTTTTGAATTCCTCAATGATTTTTCTTCTGGAAAGGCAGCTTAGGATAATTATTTCAGCTTTATTGAGGGCAGATTAGTTGAAGTCTGAGCGCTGCGTTTCAATACACGTTGTACACGGGCCGACAATGTGGGCATTGTTGGCTACTGTGTGTGAATCCATTCAACATATACACTTTTTAACACCAAACCGAGTCCTGTCTAAATATACACAGTGCTAGGGAAAGACGTCTCTGACCCGACAAATCTGCGTAAATCACACTTCCATAGTTACAGAAGCCTCACAAAGGAAGACCAGCTCAAGATGCTGATTACATCTTCTTAAATGCAACATACCTAGGGATAAACACCCAGGCCTAGCCTGGGGGCTTCGGGCCGTCTGGAGGGAGGGAAGGTGGGAAGGTCCTCTGTGTTGTGGACATTTTGGGGTCTGATTTAGGCTTGCTGGGTTACTTTTCCTACAGAGAAATTAAGCAGTTCATTATTATTATTTACAATATGAGCAAACAGGCAATTTTCAGGCCTTCTCTGCTTTTTCAGGTGGCCTCCA